TACAGATATAACCCCTATATAATATACAGATATTACTCCTATATAATATACAGATATAACCCCTATATAATATACAGATATTACTCCTATATAATATACAGATATAACCCCTATATAATATACAGCTATAATCTCTATATAATATACAGATATGACCCCTATATAATATACAGATATTACTCCTATATAATATACAGATATAACCCCTATATAATATACAGATATAACCCCTATATAATATACAGATATGACCCCTATATAATATACAGATATTACTCCTATATAATATACAGATATAACCCCTATATAATATACAGATATAACCCTTATATAATATATAGATATAATCCCTATATAATGTACAGATATAATCCCTATATAATATACAGATATAACCCCTATATAATGTACAGATATAATCTCTATATAATATAACGATATGACCCCTATATAATATACAGATATAACCTCTATATAATATACAGATATAATCCCCATATGATATATACACTATTATAACCCCTAAATAATACACAGATATAACCGCAATATAATATTCAGATATACACTATTATAACCCCTATATAATATACAGATATAACCCCTATATGATATACAGATATAATCGCTATATAATATAAAGAAATAACCTCTATGTAATATACAGATATAACCCCTATATAATATACAGGTATAACCCTTATATAATATTCAGATATAATCCCTATATAATATACAATATTATAACCCCTATATAATATACATATATAACGCCTTTATAATATACAATATTATAACCCCTATATCATATACAGATATAACTCCTATATAATATACAGATACAATCCCTATATAATATTCAGATATAACCCTTAATAATATACAGATATAATCCCTATATAAGATATACACTATTATAACCCCTATATAATACACAGATATAACCTCTATATGATATACAGATATAACCCCTATATAATATACAGATATAATCCCTATACAATATACAGATATAATCCCTATATAATATACAGATATAACCCCTATATAATATACAGATATAACCCTTTTATAATATACAGATATAATCCCTATATAATATACAGATATAATCCCTATACAATATACAGATATAATCCCTATATAATATACAGATATTACTCCTATATAATATACAGATATAACCCCTATATAATACAGATATAACCCTTTTATAATATACAGATATGATCTCTATATAATATAAAGATTTTAACCCCTATATAGTATTCAGATATAAGCCTATTTAATATACAGATATACACTATTATAACCCCTATATAATATTCAGATATATCCCCCCTACACATTGACAGGGGCTGCATAATCTAAAACTGGATTTCCCAACCCTTGGCAGCAGCACCGCACGGGTTGGGAGCCTATGTGAGGGTCCATCGGGTGACCCATGCCCCTAGGGCCACCCGATGGACATATGCAATGAGGGGCCTGTGGAGCTCAGTAATGTAAATTTACCCTATAGAGGGGTACATAGCTCTGTTAACCCCTTTCACTCCTGCCCTGGGGCGGAGTGTGTGCCCCATGGAGGGGTACGTAGCTCTGTTAACCCCTTTCACTCCTGCCCTGGGGCGGAATGTGTGCCCCATGGAGGGGTACGTAGCTCTGTTAACCCCTTCACTCCTGCCCTGGGGCGGAGTGTGTGCCCCATAGAGGGGTACGTAGCTCTGTTAACCCCTTTCACTCCTGCCCTGGGGCGGAGTGTGTGCCCCATAGAGGGGTACGTAGCTCTGTTAACCCCTTCACTCCTGCCCTGGGGCTGAGTATTTGCCCGATAGAGGGGTACGTAGCTCTGTTAACCCCTTCACTCCTGCCCTGGGGCTGAGTGTGTGCCCCATAGAGGGGTACGTAGCTCTGTTAACCCCTTCACTCCTGCCCTGGGGCGGAGTGTGTGCCCCATGGAGGGGTACGTAGCTCTGTTAACCCCTTCACTCCTGCCCTGGGGCTGAGTATTTGCCCCATGGAGGGGTACGTAGCTCTGTTAACCCCTTCACTCCTGCCCCGGGGCTGAGTATATGCCCCATAGAGGGGTACGTAGCTCTGTTAACCCCTTTCACTCCTGCCCCGGGGCTGAGTGTGTGCCCGATAGAGGGGTACATAGCTCTGTTAACCCCTTTCACTCCTGCCCTGGGGCTGAGTGTGTGCCCCATGGAGGGGTACGTAGCTCTGTTAACCCCTTTCACTCCTGCCCCGGGGCTGAGTGTGTGCCCGATAGAGGGGTACGTAGCTCTGTTAACCCCTTTCACTCCTGCCCTGGGGCTGAGTGTGTGCCCGATAGAGGGGTACATAGCTCTGTTAACCCCTTCACTCCTGCCCTGGGGCGGAGTGTGTGCCCGATAGAGGGGTACATAGCTCTGTTAACCCCTTTCACTCCTGCCCTGGGGCTGAGTGTGTGCCCGATAGAGGGGTACATAGCTCTGTTAACCCCTTCACTCCTGCCCTGGGGCGGAGTGTGTGCCCCATAGAGGGGTACATAGCTCTGTTAACCCCTTCACTCCTGCCCCGGGGCTGAGTATTTGCCCCATAGAGGGGTACATAGCTCTGTTAACCCCTTCACTCCTGCCCTGGGGCGGAGTGTGTGCCCCATAGAGGGGTACATAGCTCTGTTAACCCCTTCACTCCTGCCTCGGGGCTGAGTGTGTGCCCCATAGAGGGGTACATAGCTCTGTTAACCCTTTCACTCCTGCCCTGGGGCTGAGTATTTGCCCCATAGAGGGGTACGTAGCTCTGTTAACCCCTTCACTCCTGCCCTGGGGCGGAGTGTGTGCCCCATAGAGGGGTACATAGCTCTGTTAACCCCTTCACTCCTGCCCTGGGGCGGAGTGTGTGCCCCATAGAGGGGTACATAGCTCTGTTAACCCCTTCACTCCTGCCCCGGGGCTGAGTATTTGCCCCATAGAGGGGTACATAGCTCTGTTAATCCCTTTAACTCCTGCCCAGGGGCTTATGACGTCACTGCCCCTCTCTGTCCCGGGCTATAGCTCTGACAGGTGGGCGTGTCTGATTCCTGTTGTCCCCGCCCCTGGCCTCGCTGATTGGCTGTCGCGCTGTGAGTGACGGCTGAGGGAGAGTCCCCGGTGCTGAAGCTGCTGCCCGGCTCAGAATCATGCAGATCGCAGACAGGAGACCCAGGGGCCCCAGGCTGGCAGACACAGGGGCCACACTGAGTGCGAGGACCTCGGCTTCCACCTGCTCCCAGAGAGGGATCCCTGTATCCACTACTACACCAACTACCACCTGCTCCCAGAGGGGGATCCCTGCACCTACTACTACACCAACTACCACCTGCTCCCAGAGGGGGATCCCTGCACCTACTATTACACCAACTACCACCTGCTCCCAGAGAGGGATCCCTGCACCTACTACTTCACCAACTACCACCTGCTCCCAGAGGGGGATCCCTGCACCTACTACTACACCAACTACCACCTGCTCCCAGAGGGGGATCCCTGTATCCACTACTACTATTACACCAACTACCACCTGCTCCCATAAGGGGATCCCTGCACCTACTACTACACCAACTACCACCTGCTCCCAGAGGGGGATCCCTGCACCTACTATTACACCAACTACCACCTGCTCCCAGAGGGGGATCCCTGCACCTACTATTACACCAACTACCACCTGCTCCCAGAGAGGGATCCCTGCACCTACTACTACACCAACTACCACCTGCTCCCAGAGAGGGATCCCTGCACCTACTACTTCACCAACTACCACCTGCTCCCAGAGGGGGATCCCTGCACCTACTACTACACCAACTACCACCTGCTCCCAGAGGGGGATCCCTGTATCCACTACTACTATTACACCAACTACCACCTGCTCCCAGAGAGGGATCCCTGCACCTACTACTACACCAACTACCACCTGCTCCCAGGTGGGGATCCCTGCACCTACTACTACACCAACTACCACCTGCTCCCAGAGGGGGATCCCTGTATCCACTACTACTATTACACTAACTACCACCTGCTCCCAGAGAGGGATCCCTGTATCCACTACTACTATTACACCAACTACCACCTGCTCCCAGAGAGGGATCCCTGTATCCACTACTACTATTACACCAACTACCACCTGCTTCCAGAGAGGGATCCCTGTATCCACTACTACTATTACACCAACTACCACCTGCTCCCAGAGAGAGATCCCTGTATCCACTACTACTATTACACCAACTACCACCTGCTCCCAGAGGGGGATCCCTGTATCCACTACTACTATTACACTAACTACCACCTGGTCCCAGAGAGGGATCCCTGTATCCACTACTACTATTACACCAACTACCACCTGCTCCCAGAGGGGGATCCCTGTATCCACTACTACTATTACACCAACTACCACCTGCTCCCAGAGAGGGATCCCTGTATCCACTACTACTATTACACCAACTACCACCTGCTCCCAGAAAGGGATCCCTGTATCCACTACTACTATTACTCTAACTACCACCTGCTCCCAGAGAGGAATATCTGCATCCACTACTACTTCTACGCGAACTACCACCTGCTCCAAGGTGGGGATCCCTGCAGCTACTACTACTACTACTACTATTAAACCCACTACCACGTGCTCCCAAGCCAGGATTCCTGTACCCACTGCAACAGCAAACATTACCACCTGCTCCTAGCAAGGGATCACTGCATCCAATACTACCAGTGCAACGCATCCACTGACTGAGGGAGTAATTGCCATCTTCTCCCAGATCAGGATCCCTGCATCTACTACTACTTCACATATTGCATCCCCACTACTTACTGGGGGAGTAACTACCACCTGCTTCCAGCAAAGGATCAATGTATTGACTATTACTGCACCCAGTGAAATACATTCACTGACTGAGAGACTATCACATGCTCCGAGCACAGGATCTCTGCATACACTACTCCTTCAGCTATTACAATTTATCCACTGTCTGGTACAGTAGCTATTACCCGTAGGAGACATTAGCACTTGTACTGGTTAGAGGCTGTCTGCTACCATCTGCTACAGGCAAAGGATCACTGTGCCCACTACTAATGGGGGGATTCTGCCCCCTTCCTTCTCATTGCACAGCCACAATGGGGTTCCACCTGACCCTGCGCGGCTGAGCCCTTGGGACTCATCATGGGGGACGGCTGGGTGTCCCCTGACTGCAGGAATAGGACAAACACCCCCCCTACCCTGCCCAGCTCAATGCAGCCCCTGGCAGAGCTGACCCAGCAGTGGACTATAGGCATGGCCCTGCTCATGGCCTCCATCATCCTGCTCATACTGATGGGCAATATCATGGTCATCGTAGCTATCGCCAAAAACCAGAGGCTGCAGACCATGACGAATGTCTTCATCACCTCTCTGGCATGCGCCGACCTCATCATGGGACTGTTCGTGGTTCCCCTGGGGGCCACGCTGGTGGTAACTGGCACCTGGATGCACGGCTCCATCTTCTGTGAGTTCTGGACCTCAGTGGATGTGTTGTGCGTGACGGCCAGCATTGAAACCCTGTGCGTGATAGCCATAGACAGATACATCGCCATCACCTCCCCATTCCGCTACCAGAGTCGTCTCACCAAAGCCAGGGCCAAGGGCATCGTGTGCACCGTGTGGGCCATCTCTGCCTTGGTCTCCTTCCTGCCCATCATGATGCACTGGTGGAGGGACACGGATGACCCTGAAGCCCTGAGATGCTACGCCGACCCAGGCTGCTGTGACTTTGTCACCAATCGGGCTTATGCCATTGCTTCATCCACTATCTCCTTTTATGTCCCATTGGTCATCATGATCTTTGTCTACAGTAGGGTCTTCAAGATAGCCAAGAAGCAAATGAAAAAGATTGACCGTTGTGAAGGGAGGTTCTACTCCAGCCAGACCATTAGCAATGTCAGAACCAGCAGAAGAAGGCTTTCTAAGATAATGGCAGCCAAGGAGCAGAAAGCTTTGAAGACCCTGGGTATCATTATGGGCACGTTTACCCTCTGCTGGTTGCCTTTTTTCTTGGCAAATATTGTCAATGTCTTCTACAGAAACCTCATCCCAGACAAGCTCTTTCTCTTCTTGAACTGGTTGGGTTATGTGAACTCTGCTTTCAACCCCATTATCTACTGCAGGAGCCCCGATTTCAGGAAGGCTTTCAAAAGGCTTTTGTGTTGCCCCAGGAAGGCTGACAGAAGACTGCATGCCACCGGCGACCTGTCCCATCATTCTGGTGGCTTCGCTAACTCAGACACCAATGCTTTAGGGACCTGGTCTGATTGTAATGGGACGCAGCAGTCGTCAGACCCAGCATAGATGAATCTACTTACTGGCCTTGGTCTCAGGTCATGAATCATCATGGATTAAAGGAAATGGCAGGGAATGTGTGGGATGACCTGCGCCCACCTGGGTTAAGGGTTGATGCCATTCTGGGTTTCTCTTGGGTACAACCATTGACCAGAAGGATTGTCTCTGAGCGGCCATGGAGGTACACCACCCAATGTGCCCTAGAAAGCGGGCTGGATCAGCACTTTAGCACTGGAGGAGACTCAGTGTTAAAACGCCATGGCTACTGGAAGCAGTTCCACATCTCTCCTAAGGGCTGTTGGCAGGACCTTTGACGACGCTTCATCCACCATTCCTGGTGGGAGTATTGGGGATCCAGCACTTTCATTAGGTACCCTGATATTGCTCTGAACCTGAGGATCTACAGCTAGCTGCAATTTCTATCTTCTGCTATTCCCATACTTACAGAAGGACCATGTCCACCAAAAATGCTTATGAACCTAATAACATAGGTAATAAGAAAAGTGCCTGGGAAATAGTGGATGGCAGCCTGAGCATTATGGGGGTTGTAGTTGTACCCCAGATGGGAGCTGTATAATATCCCTAAGAGGGTTCTCTTTTGTTTACTAGACCTGGTCAGTGAAACTGGCTGATAATGACATTCAGTGCTGATCAAAGCTGGGGGCATCTATTTGGGGGGGGGGGAGGGGGAGAGGGATTATGGGACAATATAACTCATGATAGGGGTGGTCACAGGGGGACAATATAATCCCTGATGGAGGGGGGACACAGGGGGACAGTATAATCCCTGATAGAGGGGGGGATTCACAAGGAGACAATATAATCCCTGATAGAGGGGGGTTCACCAAAGCTTTGATCATCACTGGTGCTCAGATGAAAAACAACAGAATGACCACAAGGTCCTGTGTGGATATTGCACTTAATATCTAATATTTGTCATTTTGATAATTTAGCAGTGACTCACTCACTTTCTCTCACTTACTCTCTCACTTTATTAAAACACAAATTAACCTTAGTTTCAAGCTGGAACGATTGTCACAAATATAAAAAATACCTTCTGGCTCTGAATGGGTTAACACATTATTTAAATACTTTTACTTAATCCATGGAGGAAAATATGAATATTGTATTTTCTAAAAATATATAAAATAACAATGTTTTACATTTTTAAGTTATTTGTCTGATTTTAAATTGGACATTAAATTTCTACCTCAGACTGTGCATATTGCACAATATACAATGTTTATATTAAACGGACAAACAACGCACAGAGAATCATTATAAGCTACAATACAGGGTAAATCAGTACAATACAGAGAGTGAGCCCTGATTGCAGTTATAGGCTCCCACCTGTAATGCGCATCTTACTCTAAATATTATGCACAGAAATTGGGTCTCAGACAATGAAATTGGCCAACGTTTAACCCTTAATAGGTATTAGGAGAAAAGCCTGCTCCCTCTATTTACTCCTGAAAAAAATAAGTTTAGATTTTGTTAAACAAGGATTTTCCATATTTTTTTGCTAAATTCTTTACCAAAGAGAGTAAAGTATCCGTTAAATCCTATATTGTGTTCTTAGATGCCTTCCTGTAACTAATGGGTTAATCAGCAATGACATTTCTAGGCACTGGTTGCAATAGGATTGTTATTCATAGAGTGAATAACGGTGATATAGAAAGGGTAGTAGATAGCGATGTACAATAGGTAAATGAAAACGATTAATACATATAGAAAGAGGCAACAGGGAAACTGTTCCTAGAAGCTTGCAATCGAAAGATCTGTGTTTTTTAAAGCTGCAGACGTGAGCCACCAACAGGCTTATGCTTCATAAATCCCTGCTTTAGCACAGGTGTCTTAATAAGGACTCCGAGATGAATTTCAATTCAGGTATAGGGACAGGGTTATAAATGGCTAATGATGTTGGTCAGTGCATGAAAAGTGCTAAACTGCTGTATGCTGATTAAGACAATTCTCAATAAATAGACCAAGCGCCTCCAGCATGTCAATGTGTACATGCTGCAGCCAGCAATTTTCATGCACTGACCAACAGCATGCGGCAGTGATTGGGGAGTATTAAAATCCTAAACAATGGTCTGCTTTGGGACCTGAGGACAGGTATGAAGAATAGAACAATAGCTCACCGTCATTAACCAGTTAAGGGAGTCACACACCCATCTGGCATTCAGAGATTTCATTTTAAATGTCAGGATCTTTGTAATACCTGGGTGTCGGACGGGAGACCAATACATTATTCTTTCCGTAGGACTTACACTCAAAAGGGTTTATTTTTTTTAAATTTTTTTATTGCTCATATGCCATCTGTGTAAAAAAAATGAAATAAAAATGTCTACTGCGTGTGCAATAATTTCAATATTTGTCTGTGAAATTGCTAATTATTATGTACCTTTTCTTCTCTGAGAATAAAAGATGCAAATCTAAATTATCAATAAAAGTTTTACAAAAATACAAAACCGGCCATTTAACATTTTGTTTGACAAGGGACGTTCTTTGAGGATTGTATTTTTTGTTGTTGTTTTGTCTGTCTGTGCATAATGCCACAGGACAGTCTGTCGTAAGAAGGAGGTAAATACGTTAAACCATGATGTAAAATGATACACCATGACTGGGACCCAATTAGAAGAATGGGATGTAAATCTCACCTTTTATATATATTTAAACATACAATTTATCTCCCAAAACACGCAATGAAGCTCTTCCAAGTAATATTTTTTGATTTTGTTGAAATCTAATAATTTTTAATTCTATGTGAACGCCAGAGTCTATAAAATCCACAGAAACATTTTGGTGGAAACATAATGTCACTTTAAATAGTCTGTGTTATCTACTGCTCTAATTGTGACAAAATGGCCGTGTAAAACGTTAATGTTAAAATATTAGTGTATTGTTTAAGATTCTATTACTATAAGCATCCCAGGAAAATGTTTTAAAATGAAAAGTTTTAGTTTTACTTTATAAACATTACACTAGAAAACATTTGTTTGAAAATGTAAGAATGTGTAGTAGGTATCGCATTAATGTAGACTAAAACAGCATCTTTGGGTGGGGATTGTGTTCATAGACGCCATAATATTTCCCGTGATTTAATTACCGTACTGGCACACAGTCTGCCAGGATATTCACCTGCAGATAGATCGTTATTACTATTTGTAATAATTTATTTGATGGGATTCGGGGACCTGTACAGGAATAACTAGGGCCTTACACAACCCCTCTGTATAATAACAAGTAACGCAGTTTTACCGTCATGGTGGTTATAACCAATATGGCTTTCAGTTGATAAAGACACAACATCTCTCCTGCAGGCGGTGCTGTAATCATTACAATTCCGTTCAATTTAAAACAAGGCTGTAATAAGTGATAAAACTAACTCGGATCTGATAAAATGGGCAAATCAATAAATGTAAACAGCCATATTGATGAGATAGTGACACAGATTTATGTTACTAGTATGGTGCAGTGTGTGTGTGAGGGGGCAGTCTGTGTGTGTGTGTGAGGGGGCAGTCTGTGTGTGTGTGTGTGAGGGGGACAGTCTGTGTGTGCGTGTTTATGTGTGGAGGGTGCATAGGGTCTATGCTGTGTGTAAAATCTATCTTAATGTCTCCCTCTCCCTTCTTACCTTTTATCAGGGAGAGGGGACATTATGCTGCAAGCCCTGGTGGTCCGAGAACAGCACTGTGTCAAGAGTGTTGCCATGGTAACGGGTAGCAACGCTCCGACCAACCTGCTCGCGGGAGGAACATAGAGCCTTCCATACCCTTCCCTCCTTCTGCTGGCCAGTGAGGGAGATCTTTAATCTCCTTACCAGCATAAGAGGGCTGGCTCTGCATGGGCCGACAGGGGAGATGAAAGGATCTCGCCTGCCGACCTTGGTCCATGGCCATTGAGGCCCACCGGGTGTTTTCTGCAGAACCTACCACCGCCCACCTGAAATCCCACCAGTAGGCAGTATGAGCCAGGGTGACTACCCATGAACTAAAGCAATGTAGTACACTGAAGTGCTTCACGGGTCTGGAGTGTCCCATTAATATTATGAAAATATTTAAATATTTTTTTACGGTTTTGATATTTTAAAGAAACACTATAGGGTCAGGAACACAAACATGTATAAGGTCCTTTAAAATATCTGTATATTGTACACATGTATTCCTGACCCTATAGTGCCTTCCCCTCCACCATGGGGAAAGCATTGGATTGGATAAAATCGGCACGGGGCTGGGCCAAACGCTGTTTTGGCCAAATCAGGACCTCCTCATAGAGATGCATTGAATCAATGCATCTCTATGAGGAAAATTCTGCATCTCCATGCAGAGCACGGAGACGCTGAACGGCAATGCTGCTTACTGTGCAGCACTGCCCCAGGAAGCACCTCCAGTGTCCATCTAAGGAGTGACCACTTGGAGGTGTCCCTAGAGGCAATATAAACACTGCATTTTCTCTGAAAATACAGTGCTTACATGAAAATGCCTGAAGGGAGATATTATACTTACCTTTACTGCTCCCACTGGAAGGCTATTCTAGGCATCTACTACCCTTTCTATATCACTATTACTGCTCCCACTGGAAGGCAATTCCAGATACCTACTACCCTTTCTATATCTTTGTTAGCCTTTAGTGCTTCCACTGAAAGGCTATTGCAGGTATCTACTACACTTTCTATATCACTGTTACTGCTCCCTCTGGAAGGCTATTCCAGGTATCTACTACCCTTTCTATATCACTGTTACTGTTCCCACTGGAAGGCTATTCCAGGTATCTACTACACTTTCTATATCACTGTTACTGCTCCCTCTGGAAGGCTATTCCAGGTATCTACTACACTTTCTATATCACTGTTACTGCTCCCTCTGGAAGGCTATTCCAGGTATCTACTACCCTTTCTATATCACTGTTACTACTCCCACTGGGAGGCTATTCCAGGTATCTACTACCCTTTCTATATCACTGTTACTGTTCCCACTGGAAGGCTATTCCAGGTATCTACTACCCTTTCTATATCCCCTTAACACCCTGTTCTGTCAGTTTGAGGGCTGAGGAGTTCCTGCCGTACTCACAATAAACTCTAGTTCAAAGTGGAGAGTGAGTGCGTATTATAGGGAATCGCTGGTTTGAATGAGAAGCTCTGTCTATTGGTGGATTGTGGCAATTGCCTACATGCACTCTGTCCCTCAATCATTCTTTATGGACACAATCTGATTGGACACAAGTTGTCAATTATGATGACATCAGCAGGGGTGGAGCAAAGCTGCAGAGAGGACACTGTCCCGAAGTTGGGGGGGGGGGGGAAATGTTTACTTGATGTTGGCCCTTTCAGTGCTAAAATGAGGGAGGGGAGTGGTGATCTAAACCTAATAAAAAATAATCCAATTGAAAAGTATGTAATCCTATTCTTTTGATTGGTCTGTTCATGTAAGCAATGCAGGGAGTTAGAAGTTTACTTTAAAGGACTGCTTTCTGCTTTGACCCATGGAATGTAAAATAGACGACTTGTGTCCTCTCAGAGACATTATCAGCGGCTGGAGCAATAAGTGGCTGCCATCGGAATCTCGCCAACCTTCTCACGCTATCAATGGAATGTCATGTGAAGATATTCAGTAACACTTCCAGAATATGACACACCAAAACCACAGGCAGACGGGGCCCCCGCCAAACACCGTCTGCTTCAAAGAGATGTAGAAAATGATTTTAGCATTCATATAGAATTCGTGTAATACTACCTATAGCTAAATTATACAGGATATGGGTAAGCAATGTACACAATCATTATATATAACAGTATACCACAGTATATCACAATACATCACAGTATAATCACAATACATCACAGTATAATCACAATATATAACAGTATATCACAGAATATCACAATATATCAATAAGCTCTTCGCTTCAATCTGGGAGTATTTAAAGGGACTCTAGTGCCAGGAAAACAAACCCGTTTTCCTGGCTCTGCAGAATCCTGCACTGCCCCCTTCCCTCCCACCCCCATCCCATCTTGCTGAAGGAGTTAAAACTCCTTCAGTGACTTACCTGAATCCAGCTCTGCCCACACTCCTCCCCCCGACGTTGGTCGGTGGGGGAGACCTAATATGCATGTGCAGCAATGGCCGTGCGCGCATTAGATTCCGGCGATGCAGGGGGGTCCTAATGCATAGCGTGAGGACGTCCTGCGTCATTTAAGCGTCCAAAAAGTTGTTTAACAGTCCGGACATCCCTCTAGTGGCTGTCTGATAGACAGCTACTAGAGGAGGACTTAACCCTGCAAGGTAACTATTGCAGTTTATGAAAACTGCAATAATTACACTTGCAGGGTTAAGGGTAGTGGGAGTTGGCACCCAGACCACTCCAATGGGCAGAAGTGGTCTGGGTGCCTGGAGTGTCCCTTTAAACGCAAACTTACTTTCAGGGAGAGAACAAGTGGATTAACGATCCAATTTTAGTTATTAGTATTTAAACACACATTCAGTTAAAACAAAATCATTCTGTGTTTCTGATGTGAATTCAAAAACAAAGAAAAAAAAATACACCAACAAACTGACCTCCAGTGGAACCAAAAATGGAGAGTGTTCTTGGCTCCACGATGGCTATCAGATTTCACACAGGATCAATAAATGGCCATATTATATTCATATCCTGTTACATACTTTGCTAAAATAATATATATAAAACATTTAAGAAAGCATCTACTGAATCTGACAGAATAAAATTACAAAAAAACTAATCATTTCAGATCGGTTTCTTGATGTAAGATCCATTTCCCCTTAGTTAACCCCTTAAGGACACATGACATGTGTGACATGTCATGATTCCCTTTTATTCCAGAAGTTTGGTCCTTAAGGGGTTAAATCTAGTGTAATCTAAATGTATTTTTCTTAAGTCTCAGATCCTGGTTTTTGTACAATTCTGCTAATAATCAGGTTAAGCGAGAGAGCTTTATAGTCTCTATATATTTTTGAACAATGTTATCATAACCCCTCTACAAGACCTTTATTTTTAGCCCGTCTCTTATGAATTTGGATTTTTTTGTAAATTTTAGTAAAGGCTTCAGTTTAATATTATCTATACAATTTGAAAGTTATTTTCCAAAATATATATTACTATTATTATTTTATTATTTATAAAGCGCCAACAAATTCCGTAGCGCTGTACAGTGGGTGGACTAACAGACACATAATTGAGATCAGACCACTGACGTACAGGAACAGAGGGGGTTGAGGACCCTGCTCGATGAGCTTACATGTTAGAGGGAGTGGGGTATAGTGACACAGTAACAGAGGGATTGAGGCCCTGCTCAGTGAGTTTACATGTTAGAGGGAGTGGGGTATAGTGACACAGTAACAGAGGGATTGAGGGCCCTGCTCAGTGAGTTTACATGTTAGAGGGAGTGGGGTATAGTGACACAGTAACAGAGGGATTGAGGCCCTGCTCAGTGAGTTTACATGTTAGAGGGAGTGGGGTATAGTGACACAATAACAGAGGGATTGAGGGCCTGCTCAGTGAGTTTACATGTTAGAGGGAGTGGGGTATAGTGACACAGTAACAGAGGGATTGAGGGCCCTGCTCAGTGAGTTTACATGTTAGAGGGAGTGGGGTATAGTGACACAGTAACAGAGGGATTGAGGGCCTGCTCAGTGAGTTTACATGTTAGAGGGAGTGGGGTATAGTGACACAGTAACAGAGGGATTGAGGGCCTGCTCAGTGAGTTTACATGTTAGAGGGAGTGGGGTATAGTGACACAGTAACAGAGGGATTGAGGGCCTGCTCAGTGAGTTTACATGTTAGAGGGAGTGGGGTATAGTGACACAGTAACAGAGGGATTGAGGGCCTGCTCAGTGAGTTTACATGTTAGAGGGAGTGGGGTATAGTGACACAGTAACAGAGGGATTGAGGGCCTGCTCAGTGAGTTTACATGTTAGAGGGAGTGGGGTATAGTGACACAGTAACAGAGGGATGGAGGCCCTGCTCAGTGAGTTTACATGTTAGAGGGAGTGGGGTATAGTGACAGTAACAGAGGGATTGAGGGCCTGCTCAGTGAGTTTACATGTTAGAGGGAGTGGGGTATAGTGACACAGTAACAGAGGGATTGGGGGCCCTGCTCAGTGAGTTTACATGTTAGAGGGAGTGGGGTATAGTGACACAGTAACAGAGGGATTGAGGGTCCTGCTCAGTGAGTTTACATGTTAGAGGGAGTGGGGTATAGTGACACAGTAACAGAGGGATTGAGGGCCCTGCTCAGTGAGTTTACATGTTAGAGGGAGTGGGGTGTAGTGACACAGTAACAGAGGGATTGAGGGCCTGCTCAGTGAGTTTACATGTTAGAGGGAGTGGGGTATAGTGACACAGTAACAGAGGGATTGAGGGTCCTGCTCAGTGAGTTTACATGTTAGAGGGAGTGGGGTATAGTGACACAGTAACAGAGGGATTGAGGGCCTGCTCAGTGAGTTTACATGTTAGAGGGAGTGGGGTATAGTGACACAGTAACAGAGGGATTGAGGACCTGCTCAGTGAGTTTACATGTTAGAGGGAGTGGGGTATAGTGACACAGTAACAGAGGGATTGAGGGCCTACTCAGTGAGTTTACATGTTAGAGGGAGTGGGGTATAGTGACACAGTAACAGAGGGGTTGAGGGCCCTGCTCAGTGAGCTTACATGTTAGAGGGAGTGGGGTGTAGTGACACAGTAACAGAGGGATTGAGGGCCCTGCTCAGTGAGCTTACATGTTAGAGGGAGTGAGGTATAGTGACAGTAACAGAGGGATTGATGGCCCTGCTCAGTGAGTTTACATGTTAGATGGAGTGGGGTATAGTGATAGTAACAGAGGGATTGAGGGCCTGCTCAGTGAGTTTACATGTTAGAGGGAGTGGGGTCTAGTGACACAGTAACAGAGGGATTGAGGGCCCTGCTCAGTGAGTTTACATGCTAGAGGGAGTGGGGTCTAGTGACAGTAACAGAGGGATTGATGGCCCTGCTCAGTGAGTTTACATGTTAGAGGGAGTGGGGTATAGTGACAGTAACAGAGGGATTGAGGGCCTGCTCAGTGAGTTTACAGGTTAGAGGGAGTGGGGTATAGTGACAGTAACAGAGGCATTGAGGGCCTGCTCAGTGAGTTTACATGTTAGAGGGAGTGGGGTATAGTGACACAGTAACAGAGGGATTGAGGGCCTGCTCAGTGAGTTTACATGTTAGAGGGAATGGGGTATAGTGACACAGTAACAGAGGGATTGAGGGCCCTGCTCAGTGAGTTTACATGTTAGAGGGAGTGGGGTATAGTGACACAGTAACAGAGGGATTGAGGGCCCTGCTCAGTGAGTTTACATGCTAGAGGGAGTGGGGTCTAGTGACAGTAACAGAGGGATTGATGGCCCTGCTCAGTGAGTTTATTAGAGGTAGGGTATAGTGACACAGTAACAGAGGGATTGAGGCCCTGCTCAGTGAGTTTACATGTTAGAGGGAGTGGGGTATAGTGACACAGTAACAGAGGGATTGAGGGCCTGCTCAGTGAGTTTACATGTTAGAGGGAGTGGGGTATAGTGACAGTAACAGAGGGATTGAGGGCCCTGCTCAGTGAGTTTACATGTTAGAGGGAGTGGGGTATAGTGACACAGTAACAGAGGGATTGAGGGCCTGCTCAGTGAGTTTACATGTTAGAGGGAGTGGGGTATAGTGACACAGTAACAGAAGGATTGAGGGCCCTGCTCAGTGAGTTTACATGTTAGAGGGAGTGGGGTATAGTGACACAGTAACAGAGGATTGAGGGCCTGCTCAGTGAGCTTACATGCTAGAGGGAGTGGGGTATAGTGACACAGTAACAGAGGGATTGAGGGCCCTGCTCAGTGAGTTTACATGTTAGAGGGTGGGGTATAGTGACAGTAACAGAGGGATTGAGGCCCTGCTCAGTGAGTTTACATGTTAGAGGGAGTGGGGTATAGTGACACAGTAACAGAGGGATTGAGGGCCCTGCTCAGTGAGTTTACATGTTAGAGGGAGTGGGGTATAGTGACACAGTAACAGAGGGATTGAGGGCCTGCTCAGTGAGTTTACATGTTAGAGGGAGTGGGGTATAGTGACACAGTAACAGAGGGATTGAGGGCCTGCTCGGTGAGTTTTACATGTTAGAGGGAGTGGGGTATAGTGACACAGTAACAGAGGGATTGAGGGCCTGCTCGTGAGTTTACATGCTAGAGGGAGGTATAGTGACACAGTAACAGGGATTGAGCCTGCTCGGTGGTTTACATGTTAGATAGGTGGGGTATAGTGACACAGTAACAGAGGATTGAGGCCTGCTCAGTGAGTTTACATGTTATAGAGTAACATAGTGACACAGTAGAGGGGTTGAGGGCCCAGCTCAATGAGTTTACATGCTAGAGGGAGTGGGGTATAGTGACACAAAGGGTTAAAGTAGGGGAATTAAATAGTTTGTTACAGAAGGGTTTATTGAGTGCTTGGTAGGTCATTTTTGACAGTTGCAGGAAAGGAGTCATGGGGTGGGGGATGAGAAACCTGCTGACAGTTTAATTGATATGCTTTAATGAAGAAGTGAGTTTTCAAAGATTTTTTGAAGGAATGGAGGCTGGGTGAAAGTCTGATTGAGGAGGGAAGGGAGTTCCACAGAATAGGTGCAGCCCTGGATAAGTCTTGAAGGCGAGCATCACAGGTGGGGATCCGGGCAGAGGATAGGCGTAGGTCTTTGGCTGAGCGCAGGGGTCTCGACGGGACATACTTGTGTATGAGGGAGGATAGGTATGTTGGAGCAGCATTATGTAGGGATTTGTAAGCAAATATATAGATCATAAAATATATGAAAATATTAAATAATTGTACAAATGTGTCCAAAAATATTGAATTGAGGCCTAAGTAGCAAAGTATGCATATTTTGAAAGCTGGAGTTTACCTTCAAGGCGATTGATTTAGAGCAGGGGTTGTCAACCTTTTAATACCTAGCGCAAACTTATCTTTTTTAATAGTAAAATTTCTTTACCGCCCACTCAGATTGTGGAAAAAAAAAATGAGTTAAAGCGGCTCCCGCTTTAACTCATTTTTTTCCCCCACAATCTGATAAAATTGTGCAAACTTTTTTTGAAAAAAGGGTTTTTTTACAAAAAATATGTAGCGGTACTTAAATGTATCTTTTTATTTCTTTTTGGAGACATGGTTTCTAAATTTGTTGCACAATTTAACATCTGCTTTTACTCTTACCACGTTCTGCACTCCACGCCACACAGCACGCTCTATTATCCCTTTTAATTCAAACACCAACAATGCTGGATTAGGTGGCCCCCTTTTCTATTGTTTTTTTTTTTTCTCCTTCCTTATTGCAATGACCAGTAGGAAGGCTGAAGTAGGTAGCCTACTTTATTATTAGCCAACCACAAAAAATAAAACAGAAAAAAGGAATTATCTATATATCTGGGGTCTGATTATTCTCTCCTTCTCTTGCCTTTCCTTTTTTTCTTTTCCTTCAATCTTTTATTTTATTTTACGTAAACAGAAAATAACAGAACTTGCCAAAGTTTAACATCAGTCACTCTTTGGGGTACCTCAGAAGAAGGCATAGCCAAAACGTCAGTGGTTTTATTTCTCCTGCTTTTGCTCAGTATACCTTTTTAAAGGGTGATTGCATTTAGCACTTTATTACTGTGGTTTTTGGTACTAATTGGTGCCTTGGGATTGTTGTTATTTCTATTATGTAAAGGAGCCTATAGGCAGCTCTAGCCAGCGTTTGTAGTGATGGGAATTCTGCCCATGCTCGTCATGTAGAGTATGAGTTCTAGGTCGACAGTTGGATGGAGAGTCCTTAATTGTAGTGATCCAACCTATGACCATTATGTAGAGTTCCGGGTGCATGGCTGGGCTGGTAGAACTATTAATTGGTGGAGGTGGAGAGACAGCTCATTGATACAGAAACACTCACAAAGTTACCATTCGGTGAGATCTCACCATATACAGAATGTACCTTGTACTAGACTGGTGTAGGCTGGTTGTTAGTGACTATAGTTTCGACAGCAATAACCTGGTGCAATAACGTTCTATTCTAAGGACTAATCATAGCTTAGTGGAGCGTAACTGGGAAGACAGAACAGTTTCTATATTTTGCAAACATTTCTCAATGTGAGAGTGTGTAATAGATATTGCATGACATTGCTGTGATTAGTTTTACAAAAGTTATTATACGCTATATCAGGTGATTTCACATGTCACACAAACACATAATTATCCGGTAACTACCTTCTCATGATAAGGGTAAAACGCAGAACTGTGTGACCTTGTGCAAAGTACGAGAGATGGCAATGCATCTTCTAGTAGAAGACGCATCAAAAAGCTTTAAAGACCAAAAACTCAAATTTGCACATGCTGCTAAACCTGCCATGGGTATGTTATTGGCACTGTTCCGGTTATTAGCTCTGTTCCAGTTATGTGTTGTTCCAGTTATTAGCGCTGGTCCAGTTATTAGCGCTGTTCCAGTTGTGTTGTTCCAGTTATTAGCTGTGTTTCAGTTATGTGTTGTTCCAGTTATTAGCTCTGTTCCAGTTGTGTTGTTCCAGCTATTAACGCTGTTCCAGTTATTAGCTCTGTTCCAGTTGTGTTGTTCCAGTTATGTGTTGTTCCAGTTATTAGCGCTGTTCCAGTTATTAGCTCTGTTCCAGTTGTGTTGTTCCAGTTATTAACGCTGTTCCAGTTATTAGCTCTGTTCCAGTTATGTGTTGTTCCAGTTATTAGCTCTGTTCCAGTTGTGTTGTTCCAGTTATTAGCGCTGTTCCAGTTGTGTTGTTCCAGTTATTAGCGCTGTTCCAGTTATTAGCTCTGTTCCAGTTGTGTTGTTCCAGTTATTAACTCTGTTCCAGTTATTAGCTCTGTTCCAGTTATGTGTTGTTCCAGTTATTAGCTCTGTTCCAGTTGTGTTGTTCCAGTTATTAGCGCTGTTCCAGTTATTAGCGCTGTTCCACTTGGATAAAGACGGTCCATAGATTAAATCAGTACTGGAAGTGGTTTGTAATGGTAGTTTTCTCCCATAGAAGTGAATAGATGTTGGAACCTGCTAGCAGTGAAACATTTGCAGCCCAGACTCAGTAAGGAAAGGTAATGGAGTGGTGGGATAATGAGATTTATTACCGCACCCCGGTGTCACCACACCCCCAACATGGAGGACAAAGTAAAAAAAAAACTGGAAATGGGTAATCAGAAACTAATACACTATGTGACAGGAATCTAGTAAGGGGCTATCAAAATGCACAATAGGGCAAAGCCGTTAAATGGGATTAAAGGGATTTTATAGTCACTAAAACAACTTTAGCTTAATGAAGTAGCGTATAGATCATCCCCAGGAGGTAAATCACTTTTTTTCTGTTCATGGAGTTCTAGCCACACCTCCCCTGGCTGTGACTGACACAGCCTGCATGAAAAAATGGTTTAATTTCAAATCAGATGTAACTTACCTTAAAAGTTTTTGTCTCCTGCTCTGTAAAATCGAACTTTAATGACATACATGAGGCTCCTGCAGGGACTAGCAAGCTATTAACATAGCAGGAGATCAGAAATCCTAAATTATACAGAATTTGCAATAAATTAAATTTAAACATTAGATA